ACAAAGGGGGAAAAAAAATCTATACGCCACCGAGCTGTCTGCTGAGCTGAGGCATCCAGTTATCATCCAGCATCATCAGCATGTTGTCTGAAAATAACAGGAAGCCCCACAGTTCTGGGTTACATAAAAAAAACAGCTCTTCCCTTCCTTGAAGTCAACGACAGATCTGATATGAGTGGACTGACGAAGCTGTGTCAGATCAGGGATGTCTACCGTACTGCGTGTCAAGCTGCGCAGTCTGCTGTCTCTTCAGATGTCTTCTTTCTCGGTGCCACTTGTTCGCCGTTTTAAAACAGCTGGAAACTTGAGCACGAGTCTGTGAGTTTACAGAAGTGAGACCAAACAGAAAAGTGGCTTCCAAACTGAGGTTTAGGGACCTGTAGCAGGGTCACTATACACTGCTGTCAGGAACAGTACTAAAGATTAGTATTATTATTAGTTTTCATGAGAAACAGGAAATAGGCAACTCTGTCTGCTGAGGAAGACTGCACCATTCAGTCTAAAGCTCCACAGCAGCTACACATTGTTCACTCAAAAATTGTGAAAAAATGTCCGCACCATTTCCCAGAGTCCATGGTGACGTCTTTCAATGTCTTATTTTGTCCAATCAACAGTCCAAAATCCAAAGATAACAAATATATACTCAGAGAAAAGCAGCAAATCTTAATAGTGGAGAGGCTGGAACAATAAGTGTTTAGGATTTTTGCTTGATAAATAGACAACAGTTTATCAGTTGTCACACTAATTGCAGATTTGTTGCTTTCAACTTGATTTTAAAAGGACTAGTCTGTAAGATTTAAGGGCATGTAGCACTAAACTGAATGTTACACAGTGGACCTTTAAAGGACCAGTGCTGGATTGCAACCAACTGAATTAGAGTACCTGCACTTTGCCAGTCAGCCAACACAGAGAACCAGTCTGACACGTTCATTATAAAAAATGTATATATCATTTTTTAAAGAAGCATTATACTCAACTCATGATTCGATACAATTCACGATACTAGGTATACGATTTGATTTTCTCACGGTTTTGAGAGAAAGGGAGATTTAAGACAAATTGTGTCTGAAAAAGATTCCTTTATTTCTCAGACCAAAATCTAGGTCTAACCCTAACCCTACCCTTCTGTAGATATAAAGAGCTCATAAGGCAACAAAAACACAACGATTCCTATATTCAGCTGATTATACACTGATGAAAACATACCTATGAATATCATATTCCATTTCTGACA